CCCCGAGGCGTCTTACGTCGCCCTCCGCAGGGGAGTCGAGAGACTCGGCGCCGACTGTGCGCTGCGAAACCGCAAGAACACACACTACAAGAAGCACTACATCGTGGAGGTGAACACTTTTTTTTTTTTTTTGCTTTCATAAAAGCTCGAACATGCTAAGAATTGCAAAATAATCATCTATTTAGCAAAGTGCGGTGGCGCCAACTCACAGAGTCGGGCAAAAATGAGTGACTTTGGCGGGCCTGCCCCTTTTCAATGTGCTTCTTCTGCACCAGGACGTTCCCAAGTCGGGCACCAGCTGCAGCTCCCGGTGCTCCAGCCTGAGGACTCCGGACTCGGAGAGCACTCGGCACGAGTCGGAGACGGAGGACCTGCTGTGGGAGGACTTCTTGCACTGCGCCGAGTGCAGGTCGTCCTGCACCTCGGAGACGGGTTAGAGAGTCACGAGATCGACCCGATTCCTCGCACGGCGCCTCATTGCGAGACTTGTGCTTGACAGACGGAGAAGGAGGAGGCGCGCCCGTGTGCCCCCCTACCAAGAAGGAGTACAGAGATGACCCTTTCCATCAGGTCAGCCAACACAAGACGCGGTCGGGTTATTGTGCGTTTGTCCTGGTGAAAAATCAATCAATCGATCGATCGATCACGGCCATTTTCTATCCTCAGGGCCACGCCCCCTGGCTGCACAGCTCCAACCCGGGCCTGGAGAGGGTGAGCGCCATCGTCTGGGAGGGAAACGAGTGCAAGAAAGCCGACATGTCCGTCCTGGAGATCAGCGGCATGATCATGAACAGAGTGAGCGCGCCTAAAGCGACGCCGAGGCGCACTTGCTTCGGAACCTTCAACGCGTTTTGTGTGCTCCAGGTGAATCTGAACAACCCGGGAATCGGTTACCAAGTGTTTGGGAATCTGGCGTCGGTCACGCTGGGGCTGACGCCCTTCGCCTTCAGGTAAACTCCAAATACTTGACGAAGACCTTGGGACACGTGACGAATCTCTTTGGCCGCATGTGTCGTCAGACTGGCTCAGCACCGCGACTTGGACCAGCTGACCACGCTCTCGGCCAATGAGCTGCTGTCGGTGGCGCTGGGGGGCGGCACCGGCTCGGACGCGCTGGTGGTCACCATGGTCACGGTGAGCTTCATGGTGCGGGTGTGCCTCACCTGGCTCTTCTTCTTCTTGCTAAGCGTGGCGGAGAGGACCTACAAGCAGGTGAGGCCAAGACGGCGTCATTTTTTTTTTTTTAAATTGCAATCCATTGACAACCGTTTTAGTCATATCAGTGGATTGACATGTTTTTTTTTTTTCCGCTGAACATTGCATGTTTGGAATGGCCCTAAATGAGCCTCAATCGAAAAAAAAAAATTGTAGGGGAGGGGGAGAAAAAAATAAATGCACCCATCCAAATGGCATCGATTTATCCATACAAACAAGTCAGAAAAAGTACTACACACTCTTTTTTTTTCAAATGTGATTTGTTTCATTGTATTTGTTTTGCCTTGTTTGAAGAGGAAACGGTCGTATCCATATCAAATCAACGTGCGTGTGTGTACGTGCGTTTCAGAGGCTGCTGTTTGCCAAACTCTTTGGTCACCTGACTTCAGCCCGAAGAGCAAGGAAATCGGAAGTTCCTCACTTTCGACTGAAGAAGGTCCAGAACATCAAAATGTGGCTGTCGCTACGCTCATACCTGAAAGTAAGATCCAACACGTCCTTCCCGTGAACATTATTGGCTGAATGATTCTGAAAAACAGTCAATTACAGTCCATTAATTTTCAATATCATTCAGCCCCAAGAAATAAATTCTACGACACCGCGATGCCGATTTAAACTAAATTCGTTATTATGTTTCAGCGCCGAGGCCCCCAACGCTCCGTAGACGTCATCGTGTCTTCTGCCTTCTTGTTGACGCTCTCGGTCGTCTTCATCTGCTGTGCTCAGGTGAAATACAGTGCGCGCACACACGCGAGCGCACTCGCCTTGTTTGTCACCGTGGTGATTCCGATGACGATTGGTTCGCCGCCGTCCTTTGTCGCGCAGTTGCTGCACGTGCACGAGACGTTCCTGGAGTGTCACTACAACTGGGAGTTGGTGATCTGGTGTTCCAGTCTGTCACTCTTCCTGCTCAGGTTCGTCACGCTGGGCTCGGAGACCAGCAAGAAGTACAGCAACACCTCCATTTTGCTCACCGAACAGGTGAATGAAGACGCGTGCGCGCGCACACCGGCGTTGACTTTCCTTCATCATACTTATTGTGCGTGTGTGCGTGTCAGATCAACTTGTATCTCAAAATGGAGAAGAAGCCCAACAAGAAGGAAGAGCTGACGCTGGTCAACAATGTCTTAAAATTGGCAACCAAACTACTCAAGGTGTCAAATGATTTCATCATTATATCAGTAAATAAATTGCACATTGCTGATGGGGTTTTTTTTTTTTTTTTTTTGCATTGCAGGAGCTGGATAGTCCGTTCCGGCTGTACGGTTTGACCATGAACCCTCTGCTGTACAACATCACACAGGTGGTCATCCTGTCCGCTGTCTCTGGAGTCATTTCAGATCTGTTAGGATTTAACTTGAAGGTGAACGCAACAGAATGCGCGAGCACAGAGCCCGCTTGTGTGTTTGAGTGCCTAACGTGCGTGTCTGTTGCCGTGCGCAGCTGTGGAAAATCAAGTCGTGACGTTAAGATGACTGAAGAAGACGACGACGACGTATCATCCGAGTGCTTTGACCTTCAACAAGCTATTTACCCGCTCAGTGTTCTCACTTTTTATTTAACTTCACTATTTATGACATCACACGTTTGCTCCCTTGAGCCTAAATTATTTTATGTTTGTCATGCATTGGTTATCCGCTCAGTCTGACGTTTGAAGGTCGTTTTATTGAAATGTATGTTTTTTGTTGTTGTTGTTTTTTGCTTTAAAAGTTACTCATGTGTTCTGCCTGCTTTTGATAATAATACAGAGTTACATCTTTTCAACCCAAATGTTCGGTACAATATTTCAGTTCAATATGAATGTTGTGGCAAAGCAGTCATGTGACACAATTGTAATTTCCAGACTACAGGAAATAACCAGCATCCAAGCAGAAAAGGAAAGTAAAAGAACACAAAAGTATGGGTGGTTTTCTCGCATTTTAAATGGACTCAAGTTGTGTTCTTTGATTTTTATTTGCCCATTTCAATCAACAGCGTGTTTGACAGTATTTTTCATTCTATTTTCTTCTTGAGCAGAGTCAAAACAAATCTCGATGTAAACTGAGGTTTTGGGGAGCCGATGTGATTGGTCAGTTTACATGCATCAGTATTAGCTTGTAATGTCGAAACAACCGGTTTCTTGAGAGCAAACGAACATGCACTTTAAACACGTGGATAATTTCCGTCAGTCTCATCAAATTTAAGTGCTGACATAATGTGTTAGCATGTTGCTAACGCGATTTGTAATTGTGTGCGTTTGAAGGAGACCAAAGTGCTTGCTTTTACTGATTGTTTGCCCCCTTTTTTCTCTTCTGTAAAAGAATGTATTTGCAGCTTTAAATTGGTTTTGTCAAGCTGTACTTTGTGTGTGTGTGTGTTTTTTTTTTAATGTGCTCTTTTTTTTTTTTTGGTCTCTTTGTATTTTTGAGTTTGCTCGCTCTTTTTTTTTGGTCTCTTTGTATTTTTGAGTTTGCTCTTCACACTTGTGGGGAGAAGAGGCATGTTTGAATGTGTTTTATTTTTTTAAGCAACAAAGAAGTGTATGTTGAAACATGAAGTTCAGACGGTCCAAATAATTTAAATTTTTGAGAGGGATTCTAATAAAATCCAAGCGCTGAATGATACACAATGGCGTTTTGTGGTCTTTTTGCGTTTGTGGGAGAGAGCGAGAAAGGGAAAAAAAGGAGAAAATGAGAGAGAGAGAGAAAACAAGTTTTGGCTCACGGCCCGGATGCCGTTTTGTGTAACACAGTAACAAGGCTGATTTCCGGAGCGGTTTACGTCGCTCCATCGAGACCCGCAAGAATCAAAAGTGGTTGTCTGATTATTGCTATTTATTGTTTTATTTGTTTATATTTATGTCTTTATGTCCTTTTTGCAGTTCAGTTTCGCTGCCCTTATTTTTAGCTGCGTGTGTTTTCAATGCACTGCATGTTTGCCCTGTGGTTGAGAGAAAAGAAATTTCATCTATGCTGTATGTTGTATATAGAACATATTTGACAATAAAGCTTGACTTGACTTGAGTTTGGTGATTTTAAATGACCGAGACAATCTTCCTGTATTAAGTTATTCGGTAAAGTGTACTCCTTTTATTTTTATAAATAAAAAGCAAATTATGAAGGCATTTTCACCACAAAAAAAACAGAAAAAAACCCAAAAATGTAAAATTCTGAAATGACGTACAGGTCCCGCGACATAGGCGGGAATGACGTGCAGGTACCGCGACACAGGCGGGAATGACGTCGAAACCGCTCCGACACATGTCGCTGCTGTAAAAATGCGTTAGCTCTGACTGAAATTTGAAGAATTAATTTGGAATATTGTGGTTATCCAATGTTCGTGTTGCCATCCTTGTAAAAATGTTATTAGAAGCGGTGGACGCGGATGAAACGACTGTCTTTCAAGAGGTTGCCGGTAAAGATTGAATGACTCTCGAGGCCGGCATGAGTTAGCCTGCTAAGCTACTGTAGAAGGGTTTGTTAGCATGCTCGTTAGCAATACGTTTGGAAACAGCAAACACTGAGCTCATACCAGAGGGAAATCACTGTCTTATGGATGGGTCTCCTCACACACGTTAATGCGAGTAGTGCTAATTTAGCTGCTGAATGTGACTGATGCATAACTCAGACCTGCACATGCTGCAGTGATTTTTCTGTGGCAAATAATGATGGAAACGGTCATAAATAATTCTTTCACGCCAAAAGTTTGTTTCCGCATTCATAGTACTGAACAGCCGTTTTGTCATCAAACCACACCTGTGTACTTTTAAGATTCGCTCCTTGGTTGCAATAAATTATAATGTACTTTTAGAGAAGGACATAGGGTAGGGGTGTCAAACTCAAGGCCCGGGGCCAGATCTGGCCCACCACGTCATTTCATGTGGCCCATGAAAGCAAATCATGTGTGTCAACTTGCATGATCCTTGCTCAAATCTGGACCGAAATGTCAAATTGTCATGTGTAATAAATAACGTTGAGATTTTGCAGTCTATTTTTTTTTACCCTGTTTACACTCATTTGGACAATAATTGAACAAAACTAGTAATCCATCAATTTGATTGTGTTCTGTACAAGTAATAATATGATGTAATGATTAAACGTTGATTCGGTTTCACTGTCGTAATGGCCCTCCGAGGCAAGACGTAACTCCAAAGAGGCCAGCGACAAACATGAGTTTAACACCCCTGCTATAGGGTATACATTTCTGAATGCACATACATGCAAATAAAACCCACCTCCCTCTGTTAGCCTCTGTGCAGGTTCAGGTGGAGCCGGTGGGCCGCTGGTTCGAAGCATATGTGAAGAGGAGAAACCGGACCGTGTCGACCTCCTTTCAGGAGTTGGAGGAGGAAGAGGAGTCCTCTGAGGAGTCGGATGATGAGGATTTTCAGTTGGAAGAGCATCCCATGCTCCGAACGCTCGATCCAAAAGACTGGAAGGTAGTGAGAGGAGGTGGGGGGCAACCGACAATTTGACATTTTTCCACTTACAGTTTGCCTTTTTGTTACTTACTTGTTAGAATCAAGACCACTACGCCGTCCTCGGTCTTCCGCACCTGAGATACAAAGCCACTCAAAAACAGATCAAAGCTGCCCGTAAGTTTGCTCACAGGTGTGCCCTTTTTTCTATGCTTCATGCTACGTGCGGTTCTCATGCGGCTCACGGTTAGTAGAGCAGTCGTGAATACATGACGGCGACGTTCGCCGGGTCACATTCTTGATTGTTTCTCAACAGACAAAGCCATTGTGTTGAAGCACCATCCGGACAAAAGGAAAGCTGCAGGCGAGCAGATTTCGGAAGGCGACAATGACTATTTCACGTGCATCACCAAAGGTGCGTGGCATTGCGCCGCGTTTGTTTCGACCGGGGGCTCTCGACTCATGCTCCCCGGTGATTGTTTACGCCCGCCAGCGATCGAAACCCTGTCTGACCCTGTGAGACGGCGAGCCTTCGACAGCGTCGATCCCACATTTGATAACAGCGTGCCCTCCAAGGGGGAAGGCAAAGAAAACTTCTTCCAGGTGTTTCCCGCTGTTTTTGAGAGGAATTCCCGGTGGTCGACCAAAAAGCATGCACCCAGCATCGGCACGACAGAGTCTTCCTTTGAAGAAGTGGATAACTTCTACTCCTTTTGGTATGTGCATCATTCTTTGGGCTGCGCCGCCATCCGTTCGCTTGATTCTTGTCAAATAATTGTTTGGTCGTCTCGGGCCATTTAAACTTCTTTCTGTTGACGCAGGTACAATTTTGATTCCTGGAGGGAATTCTCGTACCTGGATGAAGAGGAGAAGGACAAGGCTGAGTGGTAGACCTTTTTTCGCACTTGAAAGCAATCCTTTGGCCCTTCCGTGACTGACGCGCCCTTCCTATTCTCTCCCCCCTCCGAAGTCGAGACGAGAGGAGATGGATCGAAAAGCAGAATCGAGCTTCCAGAGCTCAGAGGAAGAAGGAGGAGATGATCAGAATACGAACGCTAGTTGGTACAGAGACGACAGACGTGGCAACATCTCGCAACGCACGCGGTTGAGGAATCACCCAAGTGGCCATCCTGCATTTGTCCAACACAGATACGGCCTACAGTTGCGATCCGAGGATCAAGAGGTTCAAAGAGGAGGAGAAAGCCCGCAAGGAGTCCGAGAAGAAGGCAAAAGTCGAGGCCAAGAAGAAAGAGCAGGAAGAAAAGGAGCGAGTAAGTCCCAAAGGGCCCACTTGGAGCACCGGCTCCTGAATGGCGTCACGGCAGCCTCGCTTGTTTTTAGGTCCGCCAGGCTGAGATGGAGGCGGCTCGTTTGGCCAAGGAAAAAGAAGACGAAGAAGCCAAGCAGGCGGCCCAGCTGGCCAAGAAGGAAAAAGACATCCAGAAGAAAGCCATGAAGAAGGAGAGGCAGAAGCTCAGAACTTCCTGCAAGGTGAACTCCCGGGCCGACTCCGCTCCAGACGTGACCCCTCGGACTAACCGCTCTGTTTCACATCCCACAGAACTGGAATTACTTTGCGGACGGCGAGGCCGAAAACGTGAAGATGATGGAGGAGGTGGAGAAGCTCTGTGACAGGCTCGAACTCGCCAGGTAAAATATCGTGGCGGCGTCGTCGTACCCGCACAGGCACAAAAACAATCTGGCTTTGGCTGCATGTCACAGAAGTTGTCCTCGTGTTCACTCGCAGCCTGCAGAGCCTCAATGAAATCCTGGCCTCCGCTTCAAAGGAGGACAGCAAAGTGGCGGTTGAGAAGCAGGTAAAAAAAAAAAAGGCGGAAGGGCGGGGGGCTGTCTGTCCCTTCAGCGCGCCCCATCTCTTGCAACGGGCCTTTCCTTGCAGGTGCAGGAGGTGAACGTGCAGCTTCAGAGGGAGCGGGACGCCGAGGTGCAGGCGATGCAGGCCTCTCGCGGCGCCGAGCAGGCCGGCGGAGGCGGAGCAGTGGGCGGGGGTGGCGGCGGGAAAGGTTGGAATGAGGAAGACCTCCAATTGCTCATTAAGGCCGTCAACCTCTTCCCGGCTGGAACCAACGCCAGGTCAGATGCGGGCCGTGCATCATGACTTGACCTTTGACGACAATTTGGGGGGAATACTTTGGTTGATAGGCATCGCTAAAAACTACTGTGTGGACATAGATTTGTATTTGCACATGTGTGTGTATGTGTGTATATACATATATACACACACACACACACATATACATTCTCCTCCCCCCCAGATGGGAAGTTATTGCTAACTATATGAATCTGCACTCCACAAGCGGCATGAAGAGGACAGCCAAAGACGTCATCAACAAAGCCAAGAGTTTGCAACGGCTTGGTAAATAGACAAACACACTTAGATTTGGTCTGACATATTTCTGCATCTTTTATTAATTATTTACCATTGTGTGGGGTGCGGCTCCTTTGAAAAGAAATAGTTGTCTGTGATATAGTCTTTGCTTTCCAATAATTTACAGACACAGACAAAGGGTTTGTTTATCTGACTTTATTCTCAGCACCACGCTCTTCCCGTTTGCTGTGTTGAAGCGGAAACAATTATCCATAATCATACGCAAACAAAAATACCTAACTATACATGGTTGTTTTTTTCAGAAGCCCGAAAAAAACGACCATGCATAGTAAGGCGTTTTTAGCCCGTTTTTAGCTCCAAAAAAACGACCATGTATAGTCAGGCGTTTTTAGCTGAAAAAAACGACCATGTATACTAAGGCGTTTTCAGCTGAAAAAAACGACCACGTATAGTAAGGCGTTTTTAGCTCCAAAAAAACGACCATGGATAGTAAGGCGTTTTTAACAAAAAAAAAAGACCATGTATACGAAGGCGTTTTTAGCTGAAAAAAACGACCATGTATAGTAAGGCGTTTTTAGCTCAAAAAACCGACCATGTATAGTAAGGCGTTTTTAGCTAAAAAAACAACCATGAATAGTCAGGCGTTTTTAGCTAAAAAAAAAAAAAAAAAAAAACCATTAATAAGAAGGAATTTTTGGCGAAAAAAAAAAAAAGACCATGTATACGAAGGCATTTTTAGCTGAAAAAAAATACCATGTATCGTAAGGTGTTTTGAGCTCAAACAAACGACCATGTATAGTAAGGCGTTTTTAGCTAAAAAAAACGACCATGAATAGTAAGGCGTTTTTAACTGAAAAAAAAAACGACCATGTAAAGTAAGGCGTTTTTAGCCTAAAAAAAACAACCATGAACAGGAAGGCGTTTTTAGCTAGAAAAAAAAAAAGACCATGTACAGTAAGGCTTTTTTAGCTGAAAAAAAATACCATGTATCGAAAGGCGTTTTTAGCTCAAAAAAACGACCATGGATAGTAGGCGTTTTTAGCTCAAAAAAACGACCATGTATAGTAAGGCGTTTTTGGCCGAAAAAAACGACCATGTATTGTAAGGCGTTTTTAGCCAATTTTTAGCCGAAAAAAACGACCATGTATAGTAAGGTGTTTTTGGCTGAAAAAAATTGACCATGGATAGTAAGGCGTTTTTAGCTCAAAAAAACGACCATG